TTGTGTTGGTCCTTTTATATGAGGCAAATTCTGTGGACTGGAGGCAATTGTTAGCATCTGCACTGTTACAGACACTTACATAGGAATAGCACTAAAAGCAGAGACCCCCTTCTCTCTCTTGAACTTCTCCATTTGCAGACGAAGAACTTGAAATTTGGAAAAAACAAGTTTTCAATTTGAGGAGAAAGGAGATAGTTTTAGCTTCCCTCCTTCTTTTGAAGAGTTAGTATGGAAACATTAAGTTCTCATCTTTGTTGGTCTTTCTTTTACCAACCATTTTGATGCATGCAGTGTGTATTTATGTGGATATAAAGTGGGTCTTTTTTCTTTGATTTTCTTCTTTTTAAGATTTTTTGTGCATGCATGTATTGGGTTTTTAGCATTCTTTTCCTTCTCTTTCTGGGTTTTCATTTGAACAAATTTTCAGTTTTTTTGCGTTTGTTTTAGATATATTTTCTTTTTACCATTTTGAAAATTTTACCTGTCTCTTCTTCTGCATTTCACGGGAGATCTCACATGAGTTATGTTGTCTGGTTACTGTCTTGATGTGCTTAGTCCAAAAGGACATCTTTCTCTTCATCTTCTTTCTATTATGAGCCTTGTATTATTTCCTACTGGTTGCTGAAAAAATTTTGAAAACAAGAGTACCCAATAGTTAATGGTATCTTTTGTGTTTGATAAATTACCTAGCTGAAGCTGCATGCATACTGAAATCTTCAGACGATCGGTCAAATTTCAGTCTTTCATTTGCTATGAATGCTAAAAGGAGATGCTTTTGAAATGGGGTCTCTTCTCAATTTAATTAGTTTCTATTTGAAGAATAAGCTTTCAAGTTTCAACTTGGTGGTTTTGTGTTGAATTTATGATTACTACAGTCTTGATTGCTTTAGTCTTGCTTCAAATGCAGTAGATCATTGTTTTCCTTTGGTGAAGAGTAATCTTGATGATTAGATCAGGTTACAATCATTTTGATGAGGAATTCATTTGGTCATGCAGAATTGACTAGATGCTGGTTAGCATTAACCTTCAATTTTTGTCGGTTGCCTGAGAAAGGATGCCAAACCAGCTATGGTTTGCACTGCTAATGATTTATCAGCATGGAAGGACTTCCCAAAGGGCCTCAGGATCCTTCTTCTTGATCAGGACAAGGATTCTGCTGCGGAGTTAAAATCAAAGCTCGAAGCAATGGACTATATAGGTATAACTTTAAAGATCTTGAATCCACCATTTGGATTCTTGGCATTTCTTTTCCTGAATTGGAAATCCTTATTCTTGGTTCCCTTATGCAATTTCACTTCACATTACTCTTCTTCTCTTTTAACTATATTGGTCCACATGGCCGGAAAGAAAAGTAGATTTTTCCCAATCTTTCTGATTAAAGCATCATTTCCTGCCCCATTTGGGCTCCTATATAAAATTGAATTTGAATTGTATTTGTTGTAATGCTTTACCCTGCTATGTATATATTTTCCCCTTTTAACATGCAAAAGGTATGAATACTGAAGTCTATTCCCCCTTTATGTTTCATGGTAGTTTCTTTTGTCTTTGCTTGAACTTTGGCTACCCTATTCACTTGTGTTGTCTTTCTCTTTAAGTAAAGGAGTTGGATCGATCCTCTGTATTCTGTCAGTTTGAATTAGAAACCATAGTATACCACAAATATAGTTAAGTTATTTTCCAACCGTATACAATTTGATAATCCATGTAGTGGTTCTTAGTTCATGCATTAGTAGATCTTAAGAAATTTTTATTCTTCCCAATTAATGTGCATGGGATTGATTTCTTTACAATTTGATCTCAATCATGCCCTTCTGCAGTTTCCACCTTCTGCAATGAAAATGAAGCTCTATCAGCAGTTTCAAGCAGGCCTGAAAGCTTTCATGTTGCCATTGTAGAGGTGATGAACTTTACTTTCTGCCTTTTCTTTAAAACTAGTTATTAAGCATGCTTGAAATGCTGATATTTTGTGCGAAGCACATTCCAACGGCCTCCAACCTGAATGGAAAGAACTCTTTAGTTTTAGTTATGGGAAGTAGTATTCCTAGTCATCCATATCTTCCATGCTTGCTTCACTCTCTAGGTGTTGTTTATCTTTGGCAATCCATGCATCATCATGAGATTTACTTAAATCTTTTTTTTTTTGGCATGATATTTGATTAATCTGATAGCATTAGTTTAAATATCAATGTGGTCTCCTACGATGTGTTTGTGTAACTAAACAGCATATCTAACTGCAGGTCACTGCAAGCAATGACAATGGAAATTTCAAGTTTCTTGAAACTGCCAAGGACTTGCCTACCATTAGTAAGTTCACAGACGACATCTTTCCAATTTTGTTATAAAGGGTCATATGTCATTCATGCTCTGCTTTAGCTTGGTTTCAATATCTAAGAAGTTTTTACTTAAACCATATCTCACAATACTTTTCTCCTATTTCTTTTTCTCTTTCTGACAATTGCAGCCGATATGGATATTATACATTTTTTTAATAAATTTATCAATATTAATACTATCAGGCATTGGCTTTTAACATGTTCCCTTGTTCCTAATGCTGCTTCAAATTCCTTCTATTACAGTGATTTCAAACATTAATTGCTTGAGCACCATGATGAAGTGCATAGCGGTAAGATCTAACCTGCCATTTGCTAATCAATTTATATGGATTATTAATCAGCTGCAAAGGTGTACATGCGTGTTGTATTTATTTTTTTTTTTTTTCCATTTGATAATTAATTAAGGCTCCAAGAGAATTCCTCCTGAGTTTTTAACTTCAATTTGGAATTTAGCCTTTAGTCATAGAAGTAGAACCTATAGTGATTTCATATAATTCATAGTTACTAATGCATGTCTTTGGTTATTTATTGTCAGCTAGGTGCAGTTGAATTCCTTAGAAAACCACTCTCTGAGGATAAACTGAGGAATCTATGGCAGCATGTAGTTCATAAGGTCTGTCTTGATTCTGACCACATTCCTTTGGGTTATGATTACTTAACAATTCTGATGCTGCAAGAAGAAAATTCTCATTGTTTTAGTCTGGCCTCTGCAGGCATTTAATGCAGGGAGGAATGTTCTCTCAGATTCACTAAAACCTGTTAAGGAATCTGTGGTTTCCATACTACATCTAGAATTGGAAAATGGAAAACCCAAGGATGAGAACTTACCAAAAACAGAGGATGCATCAAATGATTCTGTGCAGTCACCACGCAGTGACAAGTATCCAGCTCCTTCAACTCCACAATTAAAACAGGGAGAAAGATTGTTGGATGATGGAGATTGCCAAGATCATACAAACTGCTCAACAGAAAAAGAGAGTGCGGAGCTAGATGGAGAATCCAAATCTGTCGAAACTTCATGCGGCAATTCAGTTGTGGAAGTAACTGTCCCTGTCAGCCAAACTCAGACAATAAGAAAGACTGTTGTCAAAAAGGAGGATGACTTAGCAGATAGTTCCAAGAGTGAGGGTTCCACATATCCTAGTCCACTAAACAAAACCAATCAAAAAGACTCTCTTGTTGTTGCTGAAAAGCCTGCCACAACTTCTGGTCTTCATAATTCTTGTGCAAATAAAGCTAATAAAAAGAAACTTAAGGTAGGTAATTCATAATTGCATCTAGGAGTAACCTTGTAAGCCTTTATCTCAATTCATCTATTTTCTGTTATCAAAGATTAGTTGGCAAATTTCTCTATCCAGGAGCACTCTGGTGTGTGTTAGGGAGTAAGTATTGCTTTTATTCTGATCAAATTTCAGGTAGACTGGACACCTGAACTGCACAAAAAGTTTGTACAGGCAGTGGAGCAACTAGGTGTAGATCAAGCCATCCCTTCTCGAATACTAGAGCTGATGAAAGAAGAGGGTTTGACAAGGCATAATGTTGCAAGTCATCTTCAGGTAGGCAGTATGTTTTAATTTTTGTAAAATACATGCCGCGTTGTTTTAAATAAGAGTACCCCCAATTGTCCCACCTTCTCCTCTGTTTACAATTTTCCTTTTGTGGTAAAGGCTGGGCAACACAAAGTTTCTCCTTTGTTTAAACTAGCTACTTATTGTTGAGCAGAAATATCGAATGCATAGGAGACATATTTTGCCCAAGGAGGAAGATGGAAGATGGCCACAAAGAGATCATGCACCAAGGAGTTATTATCCGCATAACCCTATCATGGCCTTTCCTCCATATCACCCTAATCACACACTTCCTGCCAGTCAGCTCTATCCCATGTGGGGAGCTCCTCCTCACCCAGCTAGTGTCCATGTGTGGGGCTCACCTGGTTATACCCCTTGGCAACCTTCTCAAAGTAGTTGGCATTGGAAGCCCTATCCAGGGGTAAAGTTAATTCATCTCTTCTCCTTCTCCTTCTCCTTGGCTGATTTTATGATCAGGACTGGAGCAAGTCCAGATGATTTCACAGAATACAGCTCTTTGATATTTGGTTGCCTTTGTGTTTCAGATGCATGCTGATGCATGGGGTTGTCCTGTCATGCCGCTGCCACCTCAAAGTTTTTGTTCTTCATTCCCTCAGGTGAGTATATACCACTCCTGCTAAAGATCTTGTGTTTAAGAAATACCATATATTTCGAAACAATGATGGCATCTTGGAAATTTTAATCTGATACATGGTAATACACAGAATGCAGCTGGATTTCACTGCTCCAGCAATAGCTTCCCGCAAGATTCTTTTGACTTAAAACCGGTAACGAAACCATCTCGTGTGATGTTATCATCTTTAATATCATTTGTATCTTCTTGTTTTCATGTCATTTAAGTCCTGAATTGCTTCAACTTGGACATAACATCACTCATAATCATACAAGTTTTCGTGTTTCATGCAGGAAGAAGAGGTACTCGACAAGGTTGTGAAAGAGGCAATAAGCAAGCCATGGCTGCCATTGCCTTTAGGCCTAAAAGCTCCTTCCACGGAGAGTGTGCTAGCCGAGCTCTCTAGACAGGGTATCTCCACCATCCCTCCCCACACCAAAGGCTCTAACGAGTGATGACTTGGCAACAGGTCAGCTGGTCCGACCATTGTCAATTTACCATATCATCATCAAAGATAAAAATCTTCAATGCACAAGCACTCAAATCAATTGCTACGGACCAGCCACCTATCTGCCCCTATCACCACTTGATCTTCAAGGTCAACTCAACCCAACATAGTATCATGACCTTGTAAGCACTGACATAATGCCAATTAGTACACGGAAGAAAAAGTCTTCCTGATCCTATCCAATGCCACTGTGGCAAAAAAGGCACGGCTGAGGAAGGGCCAAGTGCTTACATTTTGCACCCCATGAAGAATGTATGGTTGTGTATGTAGCCTAGGATGAAAACAAGACCGTAGTTGGTAAAGGTCTGGCCATTTTGTATGTTTCTGATCAGAGGTTGATAAGGTGGTGGGGAATAACTTTGGTGCTGGATCTGGGTTGGGGGGACCTCCTGGGATTTGTTGTAGGATAATGGGGACGATGCTACAGGGATATTTTGTTGTATAAGAATGACATCATAGCTTGAATTGGATACTGATAATGGTCTTTTCATATAGTTGGAAATTTAGTGTATGACACTTCAGCTTCAGGCCTTTGGAGCTAGAAAAGGACATGTGCCACCTATAAACTAATGCCCCTCCTCAATTATTTAAGTTGGGGACTGTTGAAAAGATGAATCATCACCATCCAATATAAAGGAGCTTGAATTGGCCCATTCAATGGAAAATATATGAATATATCTCACCCAAAGGTTAACAATACAATCCCATCTGGAATAACAGGCCATAAAATGTTGACAATAAAGGTAAAAGTAGCCCCTTCCTCACTTGTGCACTCATTTATATGAAGAGATACAAGCTTGATCTTAAATGTTTATCAATTTTATGGGATTATGCGTACATATTTTACTAAATTTACTTTTATCTCTCTTTGATGTGAGATTTTTGCACTTATAGCTACTCTTTATCACCACCACTCATAATGTGAACAACTCTCAACAAAATGGGCTTTACAGTCTTCAATTTAGAATATTAAATTCTCAAGTATTGGACTTATCATCTACAGTTTGGAAGTTCAAGTTTTCAACTCAGAACCTCTCGAGTTATTAATTGGTGGCACATTCTAAAGACCTAAGAAAAGGGTAATCATGCTATTTGTCAACGAAAGTTTTATGGTTGACCCAATACCCATTACCTACTTCTCAGTTCTGAAAGTGACTCATGGGCTTTCCAGTAAAAGGTTATTCATGGGCTTGACCCTCAGAAAGGTTATGGTCAGCCAACCTAGCTGAATCTCATATAATTTAGTAGTAGAATTATTTATATTTTTAATTATAAATTTATAATTTAATCCCTAATCTTTATGCATTGAAAAAAATTTTCATCATCATGACAATAATACAAGTAAAATTTCAATATTAAAAATGATAATATTATAAGTATAATACTATATAAGATTATAAGTTTACAATCATAATGTAACATTAAACAAATTGATGTATAAAATATTGTAAGTGAATCATTAAATGAAAAGAACTAATTATATAATGCATTACATTATAAACTTACAATATCACATGATATTTTAATTATGACATTTTCGTATTAAAAATGAGTATGGGAAATACATAAAATTTATGATAAATACATTTAAATTGAAAATAATTAATGTAATTATAATGAATTCTTTTTTCCATTTGAAAATTTTTTATTAGATGAATTACAACTTCTTTTTGGTAAAGGATACATTAAAATATTTTGAGATCATGAAATGAAGGGATAGAATTGTAACAAAGGCTCTCCTGTAATGCTAAAAACTTATTTTTAACCATTTACCTTAATAAATTTATAGGATTTTAGCCTCTCATTTTATACTATAATATTTTTAGTGTTTTACCTTAAAAAGTTTGTAAATTTTAACTTTTCACTTTATATTATGACACTTTTAGATCCTCACTTAATATCATATTATAACATTTTGTTAATTCTATTAGTTTACTGTTAATTCTGTTAGTTGATTGTTAGTATTCATTAGCATTTTGTTATAGAAATATTAAATTTAAATTTAATTTTATTTGTTAGTTCCGTTAACGGAATACTAACAGTTAGTTAACAAAACTAATAGTTAGCTAACAGAACTAATATAATATTATAACTTGACTTTAAGTAAAAATTATTTTCCTTAATTTGTATAAGTGAGGGGTTAAAAATGTCATAATATAAGGTGAATGGTTAAATTTACGAACTTCTTAAGATAAATGATTAAAAATATTATAGTGTAATGTGATGAGTTAAAATTTATAAATTTATTAAGATAAAAAGTTAAAAATAAATTTTAGCCGTGCTGTAATTGGGTGAATAATTTGGGTTTGGCCAAATGTGCAAATCATTCTCTAAAAATATTGCATTTAAATAAATTATTATTAAAAAATATGAACATAATTTATTATT